ATAAACAATAAAGGGAAGAAGGAATGAAGAGAAAAATGAAGGAAAGAAATGTGGGGAAATGAAAGGTAAAGGGCGAAAGGAAAGATTTTCGTTGGAAAAAAAAATTTAAAAGTTAAAAATAGTTTATTTTTATATTAATGATCGCTAAGTTAAAAAAAGTTTAGATCAAACTATTAATTATTTTATAATGTTCCGTGTATCACATGATACATAAGGCTTTTCCCGATGTTAAAAATTATCATACAGAATAAAATTTATATAAAAAATATGAATAAAATAAATTGGCAGATTCATCACTAAATAATATTTAATACATCTAAGAAATATCTTAGATTAATTTTCACTACTAATTCTTGATGTTATTTACCACCTATTCACCACCTATTTACCACCTATTTAATAGCATTTTACAACTTCGTAAAAATATGTTATCAACAATTTCACGAGATAATTTGATACCATGTCGCCACATGTTGGATAATAGATCGTTGTGATTTGATGGCGATTTTTTAACTGCATGGTAACAAATCACAGGTTTCTGCAAAGATGTTGGGAAATTATTTGAATTATTGAGTTATATCAGAATTTTTTTGTTTTTGTTAATAACGCGCACATCCCTTTATTATAGTAAAATTTAGAAATGATACATATTTTATAAGAGGACGTACAATAGACATAACACTAATATCACGTATTAGGTTATTCTAATCTATTAACCCATCTAAGACAGAAGCAGGTATCTAAACCCACTTATTGAGTTATATCAGAATTATTGAGTTAACATATATATATTTCTTTATAAAGATACGACCATCTGAGAGGAAAAATTTAAAAATATTTGATCTTAAATTTTTGGTTACATTTTCTTTATTTTCTTAACAAATACCGTAAAAACCATAAATCTTGTTAGAATTATTTATATATATACAGTACATACGTATATATGTAATAAATATATATACACACATTTTGGAATTACGTATTTTATTAACAAAAAAAAAATCATATCAATACTAGTAATAATGTACAAAAAAATAAATTACATATAGATTATTATGGTTAAATCAAAAATTGCTTTTTGAAAATTTGCTTTAAAACTAAAAGTACATAAATGTATACAATTTTTTTTTTTAGTGTTTAAAATTCCATTATATAATACTAGTTCATACAGTATAACAGCATTGCATATACTGTATAAAATTGTACTTTTTATCTTTTTCGGTTAAATTCAAATAATCTCCTTCCTTCAATCTTTAATAAAAATGATGCAAATGATACTATCATTACCAAAATTCCAAGTATAGTAAATGACATTGAACTTTGAGGAAATTTTTTGAATACTGCGGCAAATACTGCATCACCAATACTTCCACCACCACGCTTCAGCTGAACTATTCAAAGTATATGGGAATATAAACAGGAATAAACCTTCCAAAAAGAAGATTATAAATTGAACAAGAAGTCTACCATGAATTCCCATTTTTTCATTACCAATATCTGAAAGGAAACCTCCAGAGGCATGTGAAAATAAATTCATCAGACCAAAAAGTGAAGCGATCAAACCAGCATCCTTTTTGGAAAGGTTAAAGTTTTTTCGATTATAAAAAATGTCAAAGCACCATCTACAGAAAGTTCAACACCAAAACATAATCATTAAAAGTAAAACATTTGGATATTTAAGCGCTATTAAATAAGAAAGATTTAAGATCACGTTTTGGTACAGTAGGAACTAGTACATTCATTTCAGAATCTGTATCAGTTACAATTTTATTTGCATCATCTGTATCAGTTTTCTTCGGCAGTTTGTTAGGAGGAAGGCCACGTTTAAGCCAATCACCTTGAGGACAATCATCAGTGAAGAAATAATCACATAAACCAACAGTAAAGCAAAGAAAAGCAGGAATAATTAAAGAAACGCGCCCATGATAAGCTGGAGCTTAAACCAGCAGAATGAAAACCAGCGGCGATCAAGGAGAAATATAGTAGTAATGCCAGCACCCATGTTTCCTCGACCTCCTATTATAGCATTAGTTAGCACTTAAAGATGTTAGCCGTAATTGATTGGCCAATGCCGTAATATTACAGCATACAGCATTACAGTTATGACACTTTTCGTAATACTGTAATTAGGCCGTAATGCTGTAATTGGGTCGTAATGCTGTAATTAGGTCGCAATGCTATAATTAGGCTGTAATGTCATAATTTTTAATGGCATAAAAATTTAAAATAAAAGTAATGAATTATAAAAGTAAATTACAATAGTTTATATGTCGTGTAATTTTAATTTTTAGGGGGTACATAAGACGCGTC